ATTCCCATGGCGCTGCTGAAACAAGCTTGATTGTGAGCGGCGGCTACTCTCACCTCTTGGGAGTCTGAACCCCCTACTTCGCCGCTGTGTCGTCCCGAAGGACCAGACTCTCTTCGCAGGTCCGCTGCCTGCGCGCTCCCGTCGTACTGCACGGTCCCAAAATGACCTGCAGTGCTTGTGGCGACGCTCTCCACGGCGCCGCCGCTTTCAGCGGCGCCCTCCGTGGCACCGCCGGACTTCTCCTCTATACGTGCAGCAAGTCCTCCGACCAGCTGCACCAGCTGGCCCATTTGCTGTGTCAGCGAACTGATCTCAGACCGCATGCTGTCGATCTGCTCGCTGCTATTTGTGTCTCCTGCCTGCGAGCCGTCCGGAGTGGTCCCTCCGGTTATGAAGCCCGCCGTCCCTAATGGACTCCCTCGAGGGAATAAACACTAGTGTGTTCATATGTCCGTACTTGGGAGGAGAAGACACGCAATAACTCTCTCTGATTAGGCACCCGCGGGAGCGAGGAAAGGAAGGGAAGAAGAAGTGGCCCTCCCGAATTCGGGGAAGGGGGCCCACACATAGTAGCGTTTTTCAGGCATACGTATGCTCCTGTCTACGTACCCCCCCGTGCTGCTAGCAGATCTACCATGCTCGTATCCAGACACACGAACATCCAGTATCCGCAGCCGCCGCAGTAGTACTGCACTGCTGTGTAGTAGTAGCAGAAAATCCAGGTTGTACCCACCCGTTGTCCAGATTTGTGATTACGTGAGAGAAGGAGATACCACCGACGTCGAAGGGCCGAAGGCACTGTCTGCCAGATGTAGGCTGTGAGATAGATGGTGCCACTTATGTGTTCTTAGCCTGCCCGCCCGTGAGGGTCGTGACGAGGCCGTCATGTGTGTGTGTGTGTGTTTTATTATAAGCATCGACCGCGCTAACCGGCTGACCAATGAAAAGACGTCAGTCTTAGTGCGGCGGGAAACACAAAATGTTTCTATAGTCCACTATCTGGGACCCCGGGACCGAGCGTCGTAGGGGGAGCTACGCTATTCTCAGGATTAAAGACAGATACCGTAGTAATAACAGAAGAAAACTGCACGTGTCTACTAAGACTGTCANCCATGAACTGGGACCCCGTGAGGGGGCAGCATGGGGGAGGCTAAACTATCCTTCGGATCAAAAACAGAAACAGCAGCAACAGAAGAAAACTGCATCCGTCTACCAAGGCTATTACCTTGTACTCGAGTTCGTTTAGGAGTAATTTCACCAGTATCCTCCTCGTTTTCGCTACCATCATTCTGATCCTCATTTTGACAAGAAGAATCTCTGGGCAGTTCTTCCCTAGCCCTACGTGTCTTGTTGTGGGGAAGCTCATCTGGCTCAAACCCTTTCCTCTCTTCCACTCCTCCATGTTTTCCTCCTCCATCGTCGTCTTCGTCCTCCTTTCTTCCCTTTCCCTTTCCTTCGTCTTCGTCACTCCCAAAAGAATTACCCTCATTACTATCGTTGTCGCAGAGATCCCAACCGATTGGCCCTGGTGGAAGTTGGTCGATCAGTAGCCCATGACGTTTGAACACATCGCGAGTTCGCATCGACAGAAAACGAGCTAGCTCGAAGGTAAACCGTCTCCGAATCCTGTTAGTATGAAAAGCTTTCAGGCGAACTAAGGCCCTCTCGTCGTCAAAATTTTCCCGGCAAAAAGCTTCGTGCGCCAAGTGGTTGGCGATAGCAACGATGAGTCGATTGGTGCCTTTGCCAAGACCACCATTCGTTGAAAAAGCAGCAGTAAGGAGGGTAGATCTAGACGGGTTGAAAGTTCCCGCATAGTGATTTGCCTTACTTGCAGCTCGATCTTCGAGGGCTGATCCTGGCTTAAGGATCGACTTGTCGATGCTTCGACCTGCTGATGGGTTGACGATTGTTACGTCGATCAGAATGGACTTGGTGCAGAGGTCCTCTTCCTTCTCTCCTGCGTGTAATCCTGGGGGGATTACCAAATCCATCTTGTATAGCCCCTTTCCCCTACCAGTGCCTGTGGTAAAAGGGGAAGAATCCTCAACGGCGATGGGCATATGGCACTCGCGCAGTGTCTTGAGGACCACTCGAACCATCCTGTTATGGAGGAAGGTTGAGGCGCCGGTCTTGGTGCAGACGAGGGAGTGGGCTCGGCTCAAGCGGTCCTTGCATGGTAACAATGCACCTGCACCACAAAGTTTGCCTGTGTTGCAGTCTGCTCGATCGTGACTCCCCAGTACACGACCGATTGACTCTCGATATAGATCAGGCAGCATTCTTTCATCTGCTGACAACCCTTGCGTTGTCAACCACGACAAAACTCCCTTGCCTTTCGCTTCCTCCAAGCGGATCAACGCCCTCTTCTTTGGCGTTTCCTCGCCTACTACTTTCTGCAAGTCTGTCTCCACCATGTGGCGCACTGCTGCATGAAGGGGTTTCGAAAGGAGAGCTTGGGCTCCAAAGACTTGGTAGTGTTGACCAAATTATTTCGGCTGAAGGTAGACGGTGGTTGATGTTCTACGTCAGGGTTTCCATCTTCACGGGGTTTTCCCGCCTTCCCTGCTTCCAAGAGTAAACTCCTTTGAGGGAGGGGGTTAACTCATCAGTTGTGGTGTGTGTGTGTTTTCGTCCTATATATTATGGCGACAGTCCCCTCATTTTTTTGTGGTGAGACGTGTACTACACCTTCCAGCGCATGTAGAGTACGTCACTTTTCAGTGTATTTTTTCGTACAACTACAGCAATCCAGGGTCACACAGGAGGGGGTAAACACCAGGGCTCTTTGCCTCTTTTTATTTCTTTTCTTGCCCCACCTTCCTCCTGCAGTGTGTGCTGAATTTTATTTTTATCGCGAGAAGAAGGGTCCAGCCGTCCCTTTTCCCTTGTCAACGGTGCTAACTAACGTCGAAGTTTGGTACTCACGAGAGCTTGTCAGCTGTATTTCGCTTTCACCCGCACATACATTTCGTAAACTTTTCCCCCCATGGGGATTTGAACTCACGATCTCGGCAACTAGCGGATTACGAGGATACCACTATATATAATGGACCACCGGGGCGACCGGTGTGTAATTGCGTTCGATGTACGAATTAGTCTACCGTGTAGAAAAAGAAAAAATCATTTTCTACTGCGCAAACCACGACGGTACGATATAGACTACATATATGAAATGGCGGCCCAATTGGTACCTGCCAACGGCCGCGTTACATACCGTTCGACACGTGGCCCAGAGGGTACCGGTACCGTGCGGAAGCACGCAAAATTTCGGTAGCATTGTTGGGCCGCGCCGCCACAAACAAACCACACCCGGCAAGTATATTTCGTTGATATCGCACCGGGTGCGATAACACCGATCGATACCGGTGCCGAAATAAATACAACTAGACTAAATCATGCCGTTTTTGGATGACAGGTAGGTGTAGAAGTGCTGTAGTCTTAACCATTGTTGTTGCACATATATAAGTAGGACCAAGATACGATCCGAGCGGAGTATCTTACTGATGGTTGATCAGCGAGATACCCAACTATGGATGCGTCCCTCTTAGCCCAACCTCCTGTGGAGCTTGGGAATCCGAGACCCTCGGGCTTGGTCTCCCTCGCCTCTTCGGCGGGACACTCTCTTTTGTCTCTCTCTTCTGAAACCCTCTCCTCTCTAAATCTCAACGAAGAGAACTGCCAGCCCTTTGTAGTGGGTAAAGACTACTGCGACCTGGGCCTCCCCCCAACGAGGGAGGTCTGTGTCCTTATTGGCGTCGACGAAGAGGTTTTATATCGTTGATATCGCACCGGGTGCGATAACACCGACACCGGTGCGGAAACAAATACCGGTACAATTAATTAGCTAAATCGTGCCGTTCTTGAAAATTTTGCGCACCCCGGTGCCACAACACCGATGGGTGCGAAATCACCGATGGGTGCCATCACACGCACTTTTACGGTATGCGCGTATGCACAGCAGGCTATCCTTTTCATGATCGGTTATTTCCTCGCACGAAAAAACACACTGAAAAGTGTAGACTAGTCTAGTACACTAGACTACATACGCTGAAGAGTCTAGCACACGTCTCACCACGAAAAATGGGGGGACCTTCGCCATTATAAACACCTTGGGTTGTCAGCGGCATGGGTATAGGTTCAAGCAGTGTGCCTGTTTTTTGCATGTGTCGCATCACGCCATTACAGCTCATTAGAGAGAGAGACGCATCATCAGCTGCGTGCAGACGCAAGAGCGGGCAGCGATGCGAGCACACGTCTCGCGTACCACATGACGACGCGAAAGGGGCTCAAGTAAGGAAGGGAGCGTCCTGAACCACCACCACTACCAGCAGTAGTAGTAGGTTGTAAAGCGTATCTATCGCCGATCTTCTCCTCATGCTATGTAGACCAGCAGCCGGTCGTTTTGGTGTGCACGATATGCTTCAAATTCAACAACTAGCTTGTACTTCCTTCTATTTGCTTCATCAAGTAGAAGATGTCGAGCGTTGTTTTTCGTCGCAGAAGCAACCCGCGCTGACTACTACTAGGGCAGCAGCAACACGTCGGGTGCGCATGTTGCGTGCAGATTTTAAGTAAACATTGGCCGCGTGCAGCAAGGCATATTCACAAGCCCCTGATCAATCCGGGCCATGTTTGCTTACAGCAGAAAAAAAAATGTTCTCCCGACCAGGCGTGGCGACCGATAAACTGTACTGCGGACACGCCCGCCCGCTGCTGGAGCGCTGATGGGGGTGGGAGCGAAACACCCAATTATTGCACAGTGTATGTATGTTGTGTCCGAGTCGATGTTCGATCCACCCAATATATCTCAAATTCCAATGAGGAAATCCTTCTCTGGGTTATAAATTCTTCTCCCGTAAGAACTAACGAATGGCATTATTGACCCTACTGTACCCTTCAGGGTACCCCCGCCAGGCGGGTACAAACGCAATCACCCAGGTACTTTTGTTGACATATTGGACCATGAGTTTTTCCCTGTATGCATATAAATGATGCTAACTATCATCATAATATCCCCCCGGGGGCCTCAATCAACTGAAGCCCGTGTACGTATTTATAACTACCATAGTAACAATCACGCGCATCCATTCACTCCTTCATTTGTAGACACTTCATACTTGCAACAACGGCGCCGGCACACGTTCTTCTACACTTGTCCATCCCATCACGAAGCACGACGATGTTCCTGCGCTTCGTTCTGCCGGGTCGTCTGCTCCTCCTCCACTCACAGACACACCGCTCGCTGTTTCTGCCATTACGGGCATAAGAATACAGCATCAATCGGATGAAAAAGAACACCCACACACACGCGCATACAAGCATTACACCAGAATACAACGAAGAATGAAGAGCGGATTATTTACTGTATCGGGACAACAAACAAGCATGAATGATGACCTGTCCACTCTCTTGTCGAGTAGAAGTATCGCATTCATCCCCTGTCGCCTATCTGTCGCCTTCTTTCTTCACCACGGAACAGTCACCGTAATCAACCAACACTGCCAAAGGCTGCAAAAAAAGAGGCCCGCACGTCCGACTCCAAAGAACCCCTCTGCCCGACATCTAACAAGTCGACACCCAAAACAAGTTGGAAAGAGAAAAAAAAAAACGCAGCGTCAGTCAAAGCGTACAGGTTACTGCTGCTGCTGCTGCTGCTAGTGCGGCATCGCACCTCCCGTGAAAAACAATGAAGGACAACACACGCCGAACAGGCATCGTCTCACATTAACCCCACCGCCCCCCAAAACAAAGCACGTATGCATGCCAGCTTCACGAACTACAAGGCGCCGAAAACCTTTCAAACACAGGCACTCCCTTATCACGCGCCGCAGGGGCTTTTAACCTCAAACTTACGGACGCGCCCCATGTAGCGGCAACCCTTTGGCGAAAGCCACTATCCTTCATGCCGTCGGCCGAACCTCAACGCGCCAGGATCTTTGGGGATGGTCCAGGAACACTTCTGCCGCATCTGTTTACTTCGTTCGGGAAACCGAACCTAAAGAGAACTGCACCGAAAGCTGTTCAGAGAAGTGGTTGGTGTCCATTTACCCCTTCACCATCTACGAACGTTGAAAAAGAAACTGGGAACGGCGAGGTGCAGAAGTGGGTGCCCATCAGCCGTTGCCGGCCTCCCACTTGCAGCAATGAAAACCACCTGCCTTTCTTCGGGCACGGTGCCGTTATGCTCTAGCTGGTGGCGGCCGCTTGGGACTATACACGTTGTATCGAGGCCAAAGACACACCCACACCTACAACGATGTTGGCGCCCGCCAAAGGAGAAGACGTGTTCGCCACGAGCTCACCCGCAGGCTGGGACTGGACAAGATGCCTGGTGCATATTCCGAAACGAATCACAACCGTGCCTTGTGGGGCAGCGAGCAACCACACACCTTAACGGGCGCTCCCGTGTTTATCCGGCAACGCCCCACAACGTGGTGGTGGCGATACATGTATCTAAAACATTATGGGCATGTACTTTCTGTCTGAACATTGCTTCAACTCCACCGGATACGAAAACTCACACCAACACCGATGAGCGGGCGCTCCAGTATACCAAATAAGTCGGAATACTCAACTTCTACCCCCCTCCCCCCCGATGTATGTTGCGCATAAAGTATAAGAGTACCATAAAGCACTATGCGCCCGAAGTTTGTACGTATCGTATGATGCGACCGCCGAAGCGATCGACTCGCGTTCTCCGGTTACACGAATATCACGTCAGCTAGGAGATTATTCCAGCACCATCATTGCCCAGCAGGAAACCCGCCCTCACCACAACACACCCAGGTCGGCAACAACCACCGGGCTGTAAGCGACGAGAGACCAAAACAGCCACCACACAAGGTCCCCGGAGGGATTTTACGTACCCTCAAATTATCAGGGGAGGAAACCCAGGAACGGCGTTCTTCCTCTCACTCGGCTGACAGCACACAAGTCGTGGGGACGGCCCAAACGATACAGCGGGCAAAAAAGAACGAACCGTCGCCGAGGCGAGCCATGACGAGGAGGGCGATGACAGCAGCAACTTTCGACGATAAAATTGGCCTCGACAGTGCTTCATGTCACACCCGTGATACAATAGTTAATACTAGATATGCATATGATCATGACCAGACGGGCTTGACAGAACCACGCCCCTGACAAACATCTCTCCAGCGAAAATAGACACGCTCGGCGCGATGGCCAGGTCAATGTTCGCTACCGGTACGTAAGTGACCTGCCCGGAGCACCCGGGGCCCTTGACGCCCACGGTGCCCCCCCCCACCCCCCACCCCCGACGTCACAAGGGAACAAAAACAAATAAAACCGCCTGCAATGTCCCTGGTTGACACGCATCAGATATCTCTCCGGCTGGCCATCCCGGAGCCCTACCCCAGCGCTGCATCTCAGATGACGCCCGCGCCCGGGCCATCTCCACCCCCCCGCCCGATGCCTCTCGATCGATACAGGGGGGAGGACATCCTCCCCCCCGGAGCTCCGGAACGCCTCTTCTCCTGTCTTCCAATGCCATGACATCCTCCTCTACGCTGTACGTCGGAGGAAGATATTCCACATCGTAAACGCCCCCCCCCCCCCCCCCCCCCCCCCCCCCCCCCCCCCCCCCCCCCCCCCCCCCCCCCCCCCCC